AGTCCTTCCACAGACAGGTGTCCTAACCATCTGTAGGTTCAATGTAGGAGCCACCCAGGTATTTGAGTGACAGGATTTTTCAGAGTAACCCACTTCAAACCTAGACAGAGACAGCTCTCCTTGATGGCTCAGAGCATCTGTTTTCTAGTCCCAAAGAGGCCATTTAGATAACAAAGGCAAATTCAAGATGTGAAATGGCTGATAGCAGCCCTCAAATAGAGCAGGTGTGGGGTAGAATAAAAGCCCTCTGTATTCCATCAGTGTCAACGTCACCTCCGCACCTCTGTGTGAAAGGTGGCACCGCTGGAGCCTCCCATATAAGGCAGGGGATGGGGCTCAGGAGTCAGGGAGTGGGGCTGGAAAGCTGCTGAACAGGAGGTCACTGCTCGGCCACCGGGCTGATGTAGACCTTGAGAGGAACCTTGCCTTTGCCGTACAGCCTCATTCGCAAAGGAAGAAACTGAGGTCAGGAGAGATTCAGCGAGTTGCTGGGGATCTGTGAGATGGAGGCAAAATTAGGAAAAGAAACTCAGGTCTCCTGCCTCTAGCCCAGTCAGTTGCTTCTCCCGTATTTCCTGGGGTCATCTCACCTGGTCAGAGCTTGAGAGTATTGATTCTGGGCAATTACCCAGAACAAGGAGAAGAAAACCATGAAGAAGAAAACTGCCAAGGAAGAAAGAGAAAGGAGAATTTTTTTTTAAAAATGGGGAGACAAGTTATTTTTTAAATATAAAATTGAATCATACTCACTTGAAAAAAGGGAATTTCCTTGTGGCAAACTATGGGGGAGATGTGTAGCTTTTCATCTTGTAGCCATCTTATTTAGAAACCAAAGTAGGAGGCAGGTTTGCATGACCCAGCTCCCAGGTTGACTTTTCCCTTTGGGGACCGAAAATCCCTTGGAGTCTTTAAGTTGTATGCCCCAATAAACCCTTTTAAGTCAAATGGGTTTCTGAAAATCTAATGTTTAAAAATGATAAAATTAAGAGATGAATTAGGAAAATGTCAATGATTTAACCATCCTGGTAACTATGGTTTCTCTTAAAGTGTGTCAGTACTTGACTGGTACTAGTCAAGAATAAGTCTGCTGTTTCAAGGAGACCCCGAAATAAAGGAGACTGACACCTTAAAGGAGATGGACATCTTTCCCCCATGCAGAAATCTGGGAGGCAATACAGAACTTTAACTCTGGCTTAACTAGGATTCGACCTTGTTACTTTGTCATCCTCAAAATTCAGGTTCTCTCTCATGGCCCAAGAGGGACAAATCGTATGGGTTATGTTTGCCAGTTTCAAGATCTCTATTCTGATGGTCCAGAGATCTCTTATATTTGATAACTATCCACTGTTCATAAGGGAAATACCCAAACTCTTTCACCAATCTGGTGCTTCATTTTCTCGGGTTTCCTGTGCCTCTCCATGTATGGGCCTTTAAAATCTGCAATATCAGCAGCTTCAGCGCTCAGATTCATGGTCCTTTTGCAGGGACAGCTCATGAAATAATCTCTTTGTGGAAAAAGACAGAAAATAATGAAATAATATAGGTAAAAACAAAGAGATCAGCATAACCAGGGAATGGGATGTGAAGCGAGAGTCCGTTTCCTTGAGCACTAGCTCGAAACTGGCATGTAAGAAAGACTGAGCTGAAATCACAATGTCCCCAGGACACTGTGAGTGGGTTGATGAACATAAATTATTTCCTTCAGTTCTTGTGATGAAAAATATGACTCCTAGTTCAGATTTATTGGCAAAATTCAAAACGTCAATTATGGATTGTGCCTGTTTTAAAGGTAAAGCAGCACTTGCCATTAATACAGTAGATGTCGGCTGAGTGTGGTGGCTCACACCTGTAATTCCAGCACTTTGGGAAGCCAAGGTGGGTGGATCACCAGGGGTCAGGAGCTCTAGACCAGCCTGGCCAATGTGGTAAAACCTGTCTCTACTGAAAATATAAAAATTAGCCAGGCATGGTGGCACATGCCTGTAGTTCCAGCTACTCAGGAGTCTGAGGTACAAGAATTACTTGCGCCCAGGAGGCAGAGGTTTCAGTGAGCTGAGATCATGCCACTGCACTCCAGCCTGGGTGACAGAGTGAGACTCTGTCTCAAAAAAAAAAAAAAAATACAGTGGATCTCAGAATAGGAGCCCCCTGCCTCCCAGACTAGCAGTGTCAACATCACCTGGAAACTCACCAGAAATGCAAATTCTCAGACCCCACCCAGACTTACTGAATCAGAGCCTCTGGGGCTGGGGTCCAGCAATCTGTGTTTTAATAAGCCCACCAGGTGATTCTGATGTGTATTAATGTTTGAGAACCACCAGTTTAGACAGATCTAAATTTAAGACTTGGTTTTTGGCAAACTACTTAATCTACACCTCAGTTTCGTCATCTGTGATGGCTGCATCTTAACGGTAACTACCTTATAGGCTTGTTGTGAAAATTATGTAATAAAATCCGAGTAAAGAGCTTATAAAAGTGCCTTCCACAGAGCACCAAAAAACACTTAATAAGAATTTAAGAGACTAGCATTTTTAAAGAGTTTAGGATAGTAAATACCAGGCACATAATAAATAGTATGCCCTCCATAATGCTAGCTACAGTATCAGTGGTAGTGGGAGTAGTAACATAACACTTAACACCTACGTTGTACTTACCTTGTACTAAGCATCCTTATAAGCCATTTTCATGTTATGTTTTAACACCTAAAACCACTCTATGAGATAGGTATAGCACAATTATCACCACTTTTGAGTTGAAGGAAACCGAGGTACAGAAAGTTTATTCCAAAGACAACTTAGCTATTAAGTGATAAAACAAGGATCCCAAATCAGATCGTTTCATTTCAGAGTCTGTGTTTTTAGGCACTAATCTGGAAAGATACAGAAGACAGAGAGAGAGGAGAATAACAAAAGGAAGGAGAAAGAGAATATGCCATTTTATATCATAAATTTTAAAAATAAGTCTTTTTTTTCCAAAAATGGAAACCATAATCTTGCAGAATCTGCAGCCAAAAAAAATGATGAATGGTGTTGCCTCCAGCCTGAGGTTTCAGGGAGGGGAAGAAAGATATCCAGCCAGAGACCCTGGAAATAGGTGGGGTGGGGTGGGGGGTGGCCTGTTCTGGGCTTACATCTTTTTCACTGGTAATGGTCTGGGAGGCAGGAAAATATTACCTGTCAGTGTCATTGGAGTTGGTGCTGTTGGGAAATAGCAAGATATAGAAAAGAGTCAAATACTGAGAACTCAGAAATCCTGGCGAACTTGGACCAAGACCTGCAGTAAAGTAATGCCAAGGGGACTTGAAGGAGGAGACAGGGGTGAACAGGTGAAAGCCCGAGGTCCTTTCAGTCTGCTGTCACACCGTGGACAGAAAACTGATGCTCCCTCAAAGAGCCAAGGTCCCTGTGGGCAGAAATTGCAGAGGCAATGCTCAGAAGGTGGGGAAAGAAACAAGCCCCTTTTCCTCCTTCCCTCACAGCCTGCAGGGTCACCCCTGGAGCATAGCCTTTTGTAGGTTCAGGGAGACTTCAGAGATAACTACATTTTCTAAATATGTCAGGGAAAAGCAACTACAAAAGATTGAGGTAGAGAAGAAAGAAATTCTTAGGTATGAGAAATATGTAGGCTGGAAATGACTGGGAGGCAGGAAGACTATATTGGTTGGTGTAGGATAAGGTTTCAAGAGCAGGAGAGTTTCAATTCAGTTCATCTATATACATTACATGCCTACTATGTGTTAATTTATCTCCAGGTTTTGGTAAAATTGAGATAAAGAAAACATGGTCCTGTCCTGAGATGTTGCTAGTGCAATTCAGGGAAGAACTGTAGATAGATAATTACACATACCAAAAAAAAATTTTATATATATATATATATATATACACACATATATATATGGCCATAAGATGTCCTGAGAACACAGAGTAGGAGTATGTACCTCAGTCTGGGCACAGAAGGAAGCAGCTATCAGGAAAGTCTTCTTGGAAGAGGCAGTACTTGAGCTGAGTCTTAAAAAGAATGGGCATTTCTTTAGGTAGTAAAAACCTAAACTCAACAGCCTTACATGATAAAGGTACTTATTACGTAACATAACACAGTGTCTAGAGGTATTGCAGGCTAATTAACTCAGCAGCGGGACAATGGCAGCAAGCAGCAGTCCCCAGTCTTTTTGGCACCAGTCGGTTTTATGGAAGACAGTTTTTCCACAGGCTAGGCTGCAGGATAGTTGGGATAAAACTGTTCCAGCTCAGATCATCAGGCATTAGACTCTCATAAGGAGCATGCAGACTTGATCCCTCACATACATAGTTCACAGTAGGGTCCATGTCCCTATGAGAATCTAATGCTGCCACTGACCTGACAGGAGGTGGAGCTTAAGTGGTCATGCTTGCCCAAGGACTGCTCACTTCCTGCTGTGTGGCCCAGTCCGTGGCCCAGGGTTAGGGACCCCTGTTATACAGGACCTGGTTTCTTTCATCTCTGTTCTGTCTTCCTCCATGTATTAGCTATGCTCCCAAATTTCTATCCCTCATGGTCATAAGATGGCTGCCAAAACATCACACATCACATCTGGACACACCTATGTCAAGATAAAGAAAAGGTTACTTCCCTTTCTGCTTCTTTCTTCTAAGGAAATAAACATTTCTCAGAAGCATCTTCATGACTTTCCCTCATATCTCATTGCCCAGAATAGTTATTTATGGCAACACCTAACCCAATCCCTGGGGAAACAAGGAATAAAACCATCCTAATTAACTTAGACTATTGAGATCCACCACCCAGAGGAATGGTTATTTAAACAAAGACAGTAAGGATGTAGATTGTGGAGGAATTAATAACATAAAACTTATGAAAGTACAAAACTTAATGGTAAAGTAGCATAGAGAAATATTCAGAATGCTCTGAAATTATCATAGTGGTGTGAAAAGTAACCTTACCTCTAGGATAAGGATTAAAGGACAAAATTATTAATAGCAATGTGAGCCAAGACAAACGGTCAGGGGATATGTATTATGAAATAATGTAAATTCAGACATCAAAAACATAAAATGTTGAGGGGGATAGTAAAAGTGTAGAGTTATCGTATGCAATCAAAGTTAAGTTGTTATCAGCTTGAAATGCAATGTTGAGCATAAAATATTCTATGTAAGCCTCAAAATAACTAAAAAGCAAACATTTATAGGAGACACAAAATACAAAACAAAAAAGATTCAAAAGATATCACTTCAGAAAACTATCAAACCACAAATAATGACAGCAAAGGATGAAGAAAGAAACACAGTCTCTACAAAAAATCAGAAAATAATTAACAAAATGGCGGTAGCCAGTCCTCACCTATCAATAATTACCTTGATTGTAAATGGAATAAATTATTCAATAAAAAGACATAAAAGTTTAGAAGGCCTCTAGTAACATTATACTTCAGGTTTTCTTCAGGTTTATAGAACCCAACATATGTGCTGCACATAAACTCTCTGGCAGGATTTCTTGGATGTTACTAACCTTTTTTCTCTTTCTTTTTTTTAAATTTCTGGTACTGGTCACTTCTCTAAAGCAGATCTCAGCACTGCATTTACCAACAGGACACCCTTTTACCACGTTGACCCTGAAGGTTTCTTTTACAAAGCTTTGTGAACTCAAGGACAATTAGGAGCTTTGGCTTTGGAGTGGGAAAAACTAAGGTTTGAATACTCCCTCTGCTGTCTCCGACCTTGAGCAAGTTATTTAACTTCTGAATCTGTTTTTCCTAAAATGACAATAGTATCTCTTTCTGAGAGTTGAGGTGAGAGTAAATGAGTTCTATAAAATACTATCCCTTATACTATGAAGAAATTATTCAAGCTAGAATTTTTTGCTTTGCTAATTTACAAAATAATCAGACAGTACAATTTGAGCTAAATCTTGAGGTTATATAAATTAATTATGATAGGAAATAACTTCTTAAATGGTTGGAGAAAGTCCGCTTGTGATGAGACACAGTTACTATTTATCACACTGAATCCAGATGCAGAGTCAATGTGTCATTTTCTTCTTTTTACTTAAGATCCTTATTTCAAAGGTGAAGCATCTAATCTTTTATTCATAACTTAGTATAGCACAAAGTTTTATCCATATCTTAGTATAGGACAATCTTAGAAAGCCTAAGGCAAATGTGACTTTTCTGTGTATATATGTGTATTTTGAAGAGTGTATAAAACTTATGCTAATGTTTGCATATGACAATAATATTAGAGAAATAGTCATGTCCTTTTTTGTAGACTTTTTTTTTCCCATACAGGCCCATAAACCTGTTGTTACCTTCAGAAGAAGCTTTAGACCTAGAATTACTTCCTTTTGAGAACTGACGTGCTGTCTTATATAGCCTGTGTTTATAAGTGGAAGGCACCTCTTAGGGCAAACATTTCTTTCTACAGAATTGAGCTTTTTTGTTTATGTCAGTGAGGGGTGATATTTATGTTAATAAAACATTATACTTTCAGTGTTTGTGCGCTGATTTGGAATTCCTGATTAAATGTGCCATGACTGTTGTCTTAATTTTTTAAAAAAAAGACATAGGGTGAATGAATGGGATTAAAAAACAAAACCCAACTCTACACTGCCTATAGGAGACTCACTTCAATTTTAAGGACACACATTGTCTGGAAGTGAAGGAACAGAAAAATATTTTATATAAATAGGAACCAAAAGAAAGCAGGGATAGCAATAGTTAAACAAAATAGATTTTAAGTCAAAAACTGAAAAAAGAGACAAAGAAGGACATTTTATAATGGTAAAGGTGTCAATTCATCACGAGGATAAAGTGATTACAAGTATATATACATGCTGGCTAGGTGTGGTATCTCACACCTGTAATCCCAGCACTTTGGGAGGCCAAGGCCGGCAGATTGCTTGAGCTGAGGTCAGGAACTTGAGACCAGACTGGCAACATGGCACAGCCCCATCTCTACAAAAAATACAAACACACATGTAGTGGCACATGTGTGGTCCCGGCTACTCAGGAGACTCACTTGAGCCCACGAAGCAGAGGTTGCAGTGAATAAAGATCGAGCCACTGCACTCTATCCTCGGTGACAGAGTGAGATCCCATCTCAAAAAAAAAAATTATATTATATGCATGCAATACTGGAGAACCTAAATACATAAAGCAAATATTTAAAAATCTGAAGGAGATATAAATTTCAATATGATAATAGTAGGGGGCCTCAACATACCACCTTTAATAATGGACAGATAATGCAGAGAGGAAATAAGTAAATATTGGACTTAAACAGCATTCAAGGCCAAATGGATCTAACAGACATATACAGAGCATTCCATCTAACATCAACAGAATACACATTCTTCTCAAGAACATAAAACATTCTCCAGAATAGATCATATGTTAGGCCACAACAAGTCTTAGTAAACTTAAGAAGACCGAAATCATATTAATATCTTTTTGACCACAGTGATATGAAACTAGAAATCAATAGCAGAAGAAAGTTTAGAAAATTCACAAATACATAGAAATTAAACAACATGCTGCTGAATAACCAATGGGTCAATGAAGAAATTAAAATAAAAATTGAAAAATATCTTGAGACAAATGAAAATAGAAACACAATACACCAAAACTTTTGGAATTTAGCAAAAGCAGTTCTAAGAGAAAAGTTTAAGCAATAAATGCCTACATCAAAAAAGAAGAAAGATTGGGAATAAACAACTTAATGCTATGCCTCAAGGAAATAGAAAAGGAAGTACAAAGCAAGCCTAATGTTAACAGAAAGAAATAAATAATAAAGATTAGAGCAGAAATAAATGAAATAGGGACTCATAAAACAATATAAAAGGACAAAGAAACTAAGGGTTGTTTTTTGAAAAGATTAGCAAAGCTGACAAACTTAACAAAAGCTACGCTAACCAAGAAAAAAGAGAAAAGATCCAAGTAAATAAAATTCTAAATGAAAGCAGAAGCATTGTAATGCACTGACACCACAGAAATACAAAAAATCGTAAATGACTGCTGTGAACCATTACGTGCTAAAAATTGAATAAGCTAAAGAAATGGATGAATTCCTAGACACATGCATTCTACCAAGACTGAATCATGAAGAAATAGAAAATCTGTACAGACTAATAACAAGTGAGATCGAATCAGTAATAAAAACTTTCCCATCAAAGAAAAGCCGTGGATCTGGTAGTTTTAGTGCTGAATTCCACTAACCATTTAAAGAAGAACTAACACTAATTTGCTATAAACTTTTCAAAAAAGCTGAAAAGGGGGGAACACTACAAAGCTCTTTTTATGAGGCCAGCATTACCCTGATTTCAAAGCCAGACAAGAACCTCTCAAGACAGGAAAACTACAGGTTAATATCATTAATGAAGCGATGCAAAAACTCTCAACAAAATACTGGCAAACTGAATTCAACAATATGTTAAGAGGATCATTCACCATGATCATGTAGCATTTATCCCTGGACTGTCAGGATGATTTATGATTTGCAAATCAATAAATGTGATATACCACACTGATGGAATGAAAAGAGAAAAATCATATGATCATCTCATTAGAAGCACAAAAAAGTATTTGACAAAATTCAACTTTCATGATAAAAATACTCAACAGATTAGGTGTAGAAGAAATGCACTTCAGCATAATAAAGACCATATATAGTAAGTCCACAGTTAAGATTATATTCGATTAAAAAATCAAGTCTTTCCTCTAAGACTCAGAAAAATATAAGGATATCTACATTTCTATTCAATATAATATTGGAAATTCTTGCCAGACCAACAAAACAAGAAAAAGAAATAAAAGGCATCCAAATAGGACAGGAATTAAAACTGCTGCTGTCTGTCAATGTTACGATCTTATACATAGAAAACTACAAATTCCACAAAGAAAAAATCCTTTTAGAACTGATAAACAAATTCAATAAAGTTGCAAGATACTAGATCAACATAGAAAAATTTGTAGCATTTCTCTATACTTGAAACAAACTTTCCAGAAAGGAACTCAAGAGAACAATCCCATTTAAAATAACTACCAAAAAATTAAATAAATAAATAAATAAATAAATAAATAAATAAATAAAATACTTAGGAATAAATTTAACCAAGGAAGTAAAAGATCTGTACACTGAAAACTGTAAAATATTGATAAAAGAAAGTAAAAAAAAGACACAAATAGAAGAAAAACTATCTTGTGTTCTTGGACTAAAATAATTAATAGTGTCAAAATATTCATATTACCCAAAGTGTTCTGCATATTAAACGCAATTCCTATCAAAATTTCAATGCCATTTTTCATAGATGTGGAAAAAATTGTAAAATATAATTTATATGAAACCACAAAAAACTCTGAATAGCAACAGTAATCAAAAAGAACAAATCTGAAGGCATCATACCACCTGATTTCAAACTATACTAGAAAATGATAGTAATTAAAACATGGTGCAGGCATAAAACTAGACACATTGACCAATGGAACCAAGTAGAGAACTCAGAAATGCATCAACAGTCAAGTGATTTTTGACAAAGGTGCTAGAAATATGCAATGGGAAAAAACAATCTCTTCAATAAATGATATTGGGAAATTGGCTATCCATATTCAAAAGAATAAAATTAGACCCTCACCTCACACTATATACAAAAATCAACTTAAAGCCCATTAAAGACTTAAACATAAGGCCTAAAACTGTAAAACTACTAGAAGAAAACATGGGAACATGTTTAATTTGGGCCATATGTTTTTAGATTGTTTAGATGTTTTAGACTCCAAAAATACAGGCAATAAAAGCAAAAATAGACAATTGGGATTACATCAAATAAAAAGCTTCTATACAACAAAGGAAGCAATTAACAGAATGAAAAGACAAACTGCAGACTGAGAAAAAATATTTACATTCCATACATCTGATAAGGGATTAATATTCAAAATATATATGGGACTCAAACAGCTCTAAAAAAGAAAATAAATAATCTAATTAAGAAATCGGCAAGGAATCTGAATAGACATTTCTCCAAAGAAGACATGAATTGCTAACAGATATATGAAAAGATGTTTGACATCACTAGTCATTAGAAAGATGCAAATTAAATC